TTTCAGTTTGAAGACAAATCAACTTATGGACAAAAAGTTAAAAGTCAGCAGTGAAAACAACTAAATCACATCAACAAAAAGTGCAGTGAAAACAAAAAATTACATTCACAGGCAACTGGAGAGCTCAGAATTTCAGAACACACAACCATGGTAACTGAAGTAGCTATAAAAGCCCTCTAAAGTAAAGCAACCAGAGAAATAACTACACTTTTATGTCAGAGCTGCTCTGTATATGAAAGAGCAGTCATCAATAGTACAGTTTCATTTCATTCAAACAAGAACATATATGTTGACAAACAAACTCAGAAAAAGAGGATGCCAGAAAGACTTACTGAACTAATAACAAATGCTTTAAATAGAGGCTGAAATCACCTGGCCTGGTTCCATGAAGGGTACCCCTATGGGTTTTAACATAGTTTAGCAATATAAAATGCCCTCTAGAGCACATAAATTCTTTATTTAAAATATATACATATGCACACAACTGCTGCCACTGCGATGCCACCCAGTAGATTCAATACACCCCAGAACACATAAAACACAGATAAGCTATTTCTGTAGGTTTTAACATGCAGTGTTATAGCAGACATGCAATTCAAGCGTGGCTGAACAAAGAAAGAATCAAGGCAGAGCAATGATCAATATTTCATCAGACAGAATTAAAAACATATTTTACATGTAAAATAACAAAAAGGTAAATCTATAAATTATGTTGAGCCTAAACATACAACTGTTATATTGACAGAAACAGTGGCTCACTTCTAACCAGCCAAGCTTCTCTGAAGCTGTTTAAAGGAGGACTGTAGGACTTATAACTACTGAACTAGGAGAAACTGGATTCATCAGCACATTTTCAAGTTTTATAATAACTGGCATGCACCACTATGTGTGTTCTAGATTAAAAATTTATTTACATGAAGCAAGAGAATCCAGAACTATGTTTGTGGTGGGATATATTGCAGATGTATGCTGTGTCAGTATAACACGTTTCCAAAGGATGTTGATAACAATGCTAGGTAACAAACAAATACAGCATTTTGTAAAGCCATGCTATAGACAATCTGATTTCCTAATGCAGGTGTAAAAAATTCTGAATGAATGTGAAATAAAAATATCATGGCTGATTCTCAAAAAAAAATTTCTATCATTAAGTATTTAAGTTAAAATAATTTGGAAGATACAAGACGAACAGTAGTCAAAATGTATTCCATGTGGCCAAACCAGAGCCATATTTCTTAGAGTGCCACATCTGTTCTATTCAGTCAGTGCTCTGCAACAATAAAACTGAAGTAGAAAAATGGGGTGAAGAACACAAAGTGAAGAGAGAAAGGAACCATCTAAGTCAAAGAATACAATATGCCAAACTCCTGCTTAAATATTACTGCATTAGGACAGTTAATTTATGGTTCACCACAAGTTGTGACATTTTAGGGAGAGTTAATAAAAGCAAAATGGCATCAGCTGATTGTAGAAGAAATCAGAACTAAAAGTTGTGGGAATTAATAAGCTGCTACAGATTCTAAACCTGTGAAGGTGTCATGCTCTGTTGTTCACAAAATGTAAAGCAAAATTTTTGGAACCCCCAGGGAAGGTTTGAGAGACCACCAAGTTCTCAGAAAAGTACATGAGACAGCTGTTCCCTTTTTCCAAGGATTTAGGAAAGGATTACAAAAAGTATCATGTTTTATGCCATAATTTGCTGTGTCCTGCTACCTTTCACTAACATTTAATATAAAATGCAGTACAGCCTTGTTCTCATCTGCACTCAGAAACCATGCTGTAATCAAGGAATTAAAGCCAAGGAGTCTCTATTTGTACAAGATGGTTATGAACTATAGAAAATTGTCACACTTAAAAACCTACTTGACTAAGTGTTGCCTGTTGCCTCACTCAGTAAACAGCAAAAAACTCAGAATGTCAAAAACTAGCTTCTAAAATCTAACTAACACAGCATTCTTACCCAGCAATAAGTAACTTATGAATGAACAAAAGTGAAAATTACAAATTATTAAGGTTATTTTTCTTGTTTTATTCCCATAAAACCATGTTGAGAAGCTAGGATTTTTCAGCATTATTTATTTGTGAGGGTCTAATCAGCTTGCTTGCCCTCTGAAGAAACACTACACATTCTACTAACAAAGCTAAAGACCTAGAAAGTGTCAGGAGTTGGTATGCACATGCATGATGCATATCAACCTCTGCCTCTCAACTTCCCAAAAAGAGGAACAAAAGCCTTCCAACCCTTTGTATATGTTTCACTGTGCTATGCTGTCATGTAGAAAGATCAGGGTTTAAAGTTTTATGATTCCAAGTGGAATAACAAAAGAAATACATTATATGCTGAGAAATACCCACTCTTGATTTTGCACCAAAGAAGAATTTGAAACAGTCACAGCCTTGCCTTCCTACATGAACAAATGGCAATGATTACCAGCCCAAAATGACTAGATACAAAATTGGATAAGGAAGCATGTGGGAAGTGGATGAATATCTTTGCATTAATTACCTTTCAGTTACTTCTTCCATTTAAATGGATCAATATTAGTGCCTCAGATTTAAAATAAACTTTGGATTACAACACTGCCAAGCTCAAGTAGAGATAAGAACATACAATATATTAAGAAACCTCTTTCACTATGTCTTTGAGGCATCTGGCTGGTGGTTACTGCCAAAGTCTGAAGAGCATCTGCTCTCACTTTAGCAGTTTATATTCCGACTCCAGTGAATGGAAGCACAATCTCTGAAACAGCCTTTGGGGAACACTACCGAGTTGCTCGACAGAGCTCTTACTCAGAAAATAGAGGAGGAGATTAATATTACAGAAAACTTGAAAGATCTAGCTTCTGAGAAAGGAGACAAGAGCAGTTTCCTAATACTGTACACACCACAAATCTCTCTTTTACTAAAACATTAAAAACCTGCCCTAAAACTGAAGTGGTTAAATATGAATAGACCTAAAGGTAGAAAATAACATCTGTTTAAATAATCTGTTATCTGTTAATAACATCAGGCAAAAGTAAGAAGAAACAATGTATCTTATCTCATTTGTCAACAGGCAAAATGAAAACAGAAGAATGAGGACTCACATCACAGACTTTTTCCTAATGTGCTCAAGAAGGTCACGGGTGCTTTGCTTAGTCCTGGTGTTGTCACAGCAACATATGGCAATACTGAGTCCTGTCGTGAACTTACAATGTCATTATTTTAAGTGCCCAGTAGCACAAATTACTAAATTTGTGTGTGGTCCTAAGCAAACAACAAATCTGGCCACACACAGTGAAAACCCAGCCTCTTAAACTTCAAAATCAGCTGAAGGAATTCTCTCCTCAAGAGCCATAGATCCCAGATAGTAGCCACTTCTGAACTCCACAGCCACTTTCAAAACTATAAAAGGCTTCATGTAAAACCAAAATAAAGCTCTAAAAGTGGCTGCAGGAGATCACTAGGAGTGGCCGCTCTTCTGGATTCACTGCTTTTGAGAAGTAAATCCCTGCAGCTGCTTTTAAAAGCTTTGAAAGTTTCATTTCAATTATCAAAGCCAATAAAGCTTCAAAAACAGCCATAGGGATTTGTTCCTCAGAGAAGCAAACCCCAAAAGGCAGTGATGAATAGTGTGATGGGTTCTGTGGCTCTTAAAGTATGTACAGATTCCTGTAAGTCCTGCACTTGTAATTACAACTCCATGTTGTGCAGCAATTGTTACAGCCAGACAGCTCATTAAGGCTGATGTGGCAAATTCATTACTGATTTCCCATTCTTTCTAACAGTTTTATGCCTGTTGCCTTTTCCTTTTCTTACACCTGTATCAACTACTGTGTGAGCACCCCTCCCAACAGCTTCTGAGACACACTTCATGAAGAGCTCGCTGGCTGCAGTCTCAGGTGGTGCTGAGGCAGTCCCAAAAGGCAGGACAGGCTTTCCAGCCGTCATCACATCCTCACAGCCAGCTGCCTACAGCCTGCAAAACCATTCCTTTCTCTGAAGGGGAACTTAAAATGGCATTTTGTAAAGTACAAGAGTGAAGTCTGACAATAAGTCAATGAAGAACTTGCCTGCAACTGCAATATAAAAAGGCTCCCGTTAATTCAATGAACATAAACACAAATAGCATTTCAGAAGCAACCTCATGCTTAAAAAAACCTAACAGTGCTGATTTGCAACAAGATTTTGATCTTATCTTTAAAACTCTGAGAACTAGATCTCTAAAAATTTGTGATGTAAGCATAGGTCTGAAAGAGATACAATTTATACCCCTAAATAATTGGAGCTTAGTATGTTAAGACATTGATGGCACTGAAAACATTATAAAAATTATGCTGAAAAATATACATTTCGGTACCAGAACACATAGTGTATATTAATCAACTATGTCATATAAAATGCATTCTATTTTACAGCAGCATATTTCCTAACCTTAAAACATCATTAATTTTGAACAGTTATTCTACTGAAGTTTTTAACTTCCATTTTCAAATGGCAGAATAAATAAACATATCTTTTTGCCACGATAAATAAACACAGCTTTTTGAAAACACGCCATAAGAAAATCACTATGAACTTAAATAGATGCAGGTGTTAAGAACTGAATAACTGGTTTGTATGGGGAAAGAAAATCTTGACAGGAAACTTAAGCATTCTGTTAAATGTTATTCACAGGTGTCCTCTGTGACCTGTACTACTTACTTTACCTCTCTGTTTCAATCTTCTCATGTGTAAAACATGAAGGAGGATTGTGAGAAATAATTAATGTTTGCAAAGAGCTTTGAGATCCTTGGATATAAAAAACATGGGGAAAGCATGAAGTTTAAAAGTACCAGCATACTATTTTATTTCCAACTTGAGTTAAGTTACTTTTATCACAAAAACCTTGAAAGTTTAGAAATACAAAATTATGGAATCAAGTGCTTAAAAAACCATCTTAAGTGCTAAGCATATTCTGCTCCTCAGAACCTCATCACTCTGAAGGAAACACTCCCAGAAGGAAAGGATGTGCTTCTCACCCGTTTCAAGTATGCGTTTATGGAGAGGTATAGCAGCAAGAAAGGGTTCATCTTTACAGGACTGGATCTGGGTGCCAACCAAGTCAGAGTTGGTAGCCATAATTCGGGCACTTTCTTCACTAAGATTAACACCAGCCATAGAGGCAACATCATTGATGTCGTCGTCATCTCTGCAATAAAAAAACCAAACATATAAAACCAAATTCTACATGGAATATATTCATTTTTTGCATCATCTGCTTCTCCAGAAGGAATCATCATGCTACATGCCCAATGGGCAGGCCATTTGAGACACAACCCCTGGTGTCTCTATTTCCACAGACTATCTTCAGAAACAACCACATATTTCTCTGACCATATCAGAAAGCATCAGAAGCAAGACAATTTGACTGGTAACAGAAGGTGTGACAGAGGTGTCTTCATCTGAGAGTCAGTGATATCAATGAAACCAGGCTGATCAGGAAACTAACAACTGAACACTGGGATTTCCTCTTTATAAAGAAAACTAGGCATAAAATGGTAAAATAAATAACAGAAATTAAAAGCAAACCCATGAATTTTTAATTCTGCACTATTTCACAAGTTCCTACTAAAACAGGCATCAAAGCATTTTCAGCAACAGCTGGGGAACATTCTTTGACCATGCTGAGCTCACAGGTAAGCCTGGGCTCCAATTGTGGCTGGAGTATGTCCTGGTAATTTCTCTGGCAACATACAAATACCAGTAGTGTCAGCAAGTTTTAGGAAAATGAGCTGCATTTGAGAAGATGATAGCAACTCCCAGGCCATTTTTTGCCCTGCATCGTCTTTTTTAACAGCTTGAGAAAGTACAAACAAATTTGAGTTTCCATAGCGGTATCTCCCAAGCATCTTCACCTCCTACCTGTCTGAGGTATGACTCAGAGCTGTGGAAACAGCCATCTGGATTTAGCACATTCTGTTTCACAGCTATTACTAACACAAACACTATTTCAACATATTCTAGAGTGATTACACAACCTTTGAGAATATCATTTTCAGAATACACATATATGGATGAGAAGATTCAAGTCCAGACTCCTATTACCGTATAAAGCAAACAAACAAAAGCTTAATTTAAAAGATTTTTTAACAATTGTTATCTACATGATGTCCTGTGCACCCTAAAATATTTTGTCACTTGTAACAAGCTTAATGCCCACAGTAAAAACCAATAGCTGCAAGTAAGGTCTGAGAATAAAAGGAGGGAAATCCAAAAATCCATAATCTAGGTCCTCCCTCCCCTCCCATACTTTTCCTGTTATTTGCACTACAGCAGCCAATTTTGGTGGAAGACTACAATGGTTTGATAAACACTGGTTTTATTTTCTTTTGTGGAAAAAAGTCAAGAAGGGACTTTTATTTGGGTAAACCTGCAGATATGTGCTGAACACTTGAGGCAGAAAATGGTATATTTTACAATGCTTTCCAGAAAAAGTCTACACAAATGAGCGTCTATTAATTTCCAGGAGTGTTAAGCACTTGATTTCTTGTCTTCAAATGAAATTCCTGAGAACAGCGTTGCAACATCATACAATGGTTTTGGTTGGAAGGAAACTTTAAAGCTCATCCAGTGCCACCCCTGCCATGGGCAGGGACACTTTGCACTGTCCCAGGCTGCTCCCAGCCCCAGTGTCCAACCTGGCCTTGGGCACTGCCAGGGATCCAGGGGCAGCTTCTCTGGGCAATCTGTGCCAGAGTCTCAGCATCCTCACAGGGAACAATTCTTTCCTAATATCCAATGTAAACCTACTACCCTTTAGTGTGGAGCCATTCTCCCTTGTCCTGCCACACCGCGCCCTAGTAAATTGTCTCTCCCCATCTTTACTGCAGGCTCCCTTCAGGTGCTGGAAAGCCACAATTGGGTCACCCTGGAGCCCTCTCTTCTCCAGGCTGAAAAATCCCAATTCTCTCAGCCTTTCTTCCTAGGGAGATGCTTCATCTCTCTAATCCTGTCACTTTTACATCTGACACAGTGTGGACACAATACTCACCGAGGGACCCTGGGCCACAGTGAGGAACTGGCTCTGTGCCCACACCACACAACCAACACTGACTGAGATACTCAGTGCCCAACTCAAAAGTTTGTAATTCTACAAATGAAAAACCGCAGGTAAAACTGAAAGAAACAGATGTCTGTCGGGTTAAAACCTGAATGCTTGAAATGGAATGAGAATCACCCAGGACTCACAAGGCCCAAATCCAGCAGGCCTCAAACCATGGGAAAACCAAACTCCTATCAAGGCAGTTACCAGAACACAAACTGAACTATATAAAATAGAAGCTTCTGGAAGACATACTTGAACCCAGAATTTCAAAATAAAGCTCAAACTGACCAAATCACCAGTGCAGTGGTGACACCCCACGGGCCCTCACCCCACTGTGGGTCTGGGTGCCAGAGGACGAGCTCAGCCACAGAGGAGCCAGGTAAAAACAAAGCCAGAGGTTCCCAGGGCTGGCCCCACACAGCCCCTCTGTCCTGTCTGTCCTGTCCCTTCAGCCAGCAGCTCTCACAGCTGGGCAGGGGTTCCCAATCCCATTCCTTAGCCAGCAGCTCTCACAGCTGGGCAGGGGTTCCCAATCCCATTCCTTAGCCAGCAGCTCTCACAGCTGGGCAGGGGTTCCCAATCCTGTCCCTTCAGCCAGCAGCTCTCACAGCTGGGCAGGGGTTCCCAATCCCATTCCTTCACCAGCAGCTCTCACAGCTGGGCAGGGGTTCCCAATCCTGTCCTTCAGCCAGCAGCTCTCACAGCTGGGCAGGGGTTCCCAGTGCTGTCCCTTCAGCCAGCAGCTCTCACAGCTGGGCAGGGGTTCCCAATCCCATTCCTTAGCCAGCAGCTCTCACAGCTGGGCAGGGGTTCCCAATCCCATTCCTTAGCCAGCAGCTCTCACAGCTGGGCAGGGGTTCCCAATCCCATTCCTTAGCCAGCAGCTCTCACAGCTGGGCAGGGGTTCCCAATCCCATTCCTTAGCCAGCAGCTCTCACAGCTGGGCAGGGGTTCCCAGTGCTGTCCCTTCAGCCAGCAGCTCTCACAGCTGGGCAGGGGTTCCCAATCCTGTCCTTCAGCCAGCAGCTCTCACAGCTGGGCAGGGGTTCCCAATCCTGTCCTTCAGCCAGCAGCTCTCACAGCTGGGCACAACTGGCTAGCAGTAATCAAAGAGTCTCAATCCTGTATTTATTTCCTCATCAGGTTGTCAGGACAAAGATACTTTGATCTCCTTCAAGCCATCATCCATTAAAAAAATCAAATCAGCAGTCTTGACTTGTAGAACATAACTTCTCTGAGAAGTTCGTACTTCCTTCTCCTTTTTTTCATAGCTGAAGAAAATACCATCCATCTTTTACCTTCCTTCTGCTTAGCAGTTTAGCTACTCCAGTTTTTATTCAGTGTACAGATCTGTGACCACATTATAAATAAATATTTCTGAAATAAAACCACACAAGTATTTTGGACACAAATTAGATTTCAACGCAATTATCAAAACCAATGCAAGAGCACTTACAAAGACCATTACTGTAACTCCTGGAGAGAATAATTTTCTTCCATCTTACACTTGCAAGCTACAATCTGCAAGTACATATTTTATTTCTTTTTCAGTATTACATGGAAGACAAATAAGAAATGTATTAATCACAGCTGGGACTACAATGTTTTTCTGACAGGAAGAACCTTATCCATATATTTCTCATTACTTCAAGGAACCTCATAATGAAAAAAATGTTTGGATACTGAAACATACATTTATATTTAGAGTTGCTATTCTTGCTGAAGTTTCCTAAAGAAGTGAACTTTTAAGCCCAGAAAAGTGAGTTTTCAGAAGTTATTCTGTGGAACAAAGATGCCATCCAGTGGTCATCTAGACTGATGATTACTGTCTATCTTTACTTTTTCATCAGAGCACAGTATTTAACAATTTCCTGTTTCTTGGCATATATTACTATGCCTGTCCTAATTCTACTGTTTCAGTAAATATTTCTGGTTTTTACTGAATTAAATTCTGAGTCTCACAGGATGAATCTAACACTCCAACACATACGGTATTTTTAAGACAGCATGAGTTCTCAAACTTCCTCCAAACACAAACTGTATCTTATAATAATCCAAGAGTCCAATTCTTCCTCCTATGTTCAACCTCTTGTAACAATCTTCCTTCTCCTTTTCCCTCATTATAAAGACTCATAAAATTGCCAAAAAAAAATCTTATCTGGAAATAAGCAAGAAAACCCAAAGTATTTGCACAGTTATCTGTGAAAGGTTTCAAAGATTTTGTTTAAACTAAGACAAGCCATTATAAAAACCTGGTAGCATTTGCTTTATGAACAAACCCTAACTGCATGATTGCACAGTTTTTCTTTCTCGTGCACTTTGTCAGACTTGAGCCACTGCTGTCCCCAACTGCCATACTGAACTGCTCCCAAATAAGCCAGAAGAATGCATAAAGCAACAAAGACAACATTACACTACTGACTCCCCTCTCTTACAAGGGAATTGCATGTCATTAGGACAAAGTCCTGCATCCCACAGATCACATGAACCACACAGAGATTAACAATACATGGCATATAAATGGTAACTAGAAATTACTGGAACAGCCAGTATTATATTATATTTTATAATGGCATAGATTCCATTTACATATCAATTATAATGTTTATTCTGATGTTCATGTAATAATTTGAAATGTCTCCCTAATACTGCTTTGCCACACAATACATTCTCTATGTAGAATCTTCTCTCTGATGAGCAAAAGGGCTGACAGAACAGACCACATTTATGATCAGCATTTTTCTTTATTTTGAAATATATGGAAGAAACACAATCCCCTTATAGCTTGAAATATTCATTTGAAAAAAACAAAAACCTCAAGGGCAAGGTTTTTTCACATACCATTTTGAGATGAAAACTTTGAAGTTATCCATTTAACATCCACATTAGTGTTCCACCACTTAAAGAGCAAACTGCTTTGCTTATATTGCTAAACTTTTATTTTTAAAAACAAAAACACAATACTAGACGAGATTTTTTTTGGCTGTTTTTGTTTTTATTTTTGGCTATGCAAGGGAGGTCTGAAAACAAATTTTTTATTTCTACATAGAGTCCACCTCAAAACGCAGTCAGACAGCAGAATAAAACACAGATACTAAGATCAGCTTCAAATGATCTCAGACTTCACAGAACTGTCTGAAAACAAACCCCATCAGAGTGGCTTTATAAAACCCAACACTGCCAGGTTCCAGGTCAGACCTATCTCAGAAATACCACTTCAGAAAAGGAAAGGTTTCTGTGAAAAGGAAGGAGCACACAAACCACAGCATCATGCCACACACCAAGCATAGATCTGTACACTCCTGGCCCTGCCATGCAATGCCCCTGAGCCCTGCTGAGCAGTCTGGAAGGGCTGGGATAGCACAAGAGGACAAACACCCAGCTCCATCCTTGGAGGAACACAGAGCACACAGGGACCCAGCCCTGACCCAGGTAGGAAGCTGGACCTCCCAAGTGAAGTGATTCCATCTCAACATCAGAACAAATGGTTCCACTGGCTCCCTCCATGGCCACCACCTGAAGGTGGTGAGAATCCTTAAGAGCCTGCTGCTTTCTCCACAGCAGAGAAGCTGGTGTCAGCGAACTCTGAGGGGACCAGAGGTGATGAGCAGCAGCTGTGGACACACAGGCAGGTCCCTGGCAGACCTCAGTGGGATTTTTACTTCTCTCAGCTACAGAAACCTCAAGCTGGCCTGTTATGATATAAACCCAAGTCTAGACCTCTGCTTGCAAAACAAACAGAAATATTACTAAAAATGAAACTCAAATTTCTGTCCTTAGGTATTAATAGAGTTGAAAAGTCAACTAACTGGGGCTGTATGTTCTCTCTGAAAAATACAACAATAATAAATTTAATACCAAAAAAGTGATCTAAAATTTCAGAAGCAAGTTTCACCTTGAAGAACTCTTGGGCTGAGAACTCTGCATCACAGAACAGCTACTGTAACAGTGAACTCATGTGAGCAGTCTTACAGTTCATTAATAAACGCTGCCCTTAAAGGCATAGCTGCAATTTGCAAAATTCTTAATTGCTAGATCTGTTATGTAATTCCATCTTGTATCTCCTAGAGTTCAGAATACAGAAGAGAAAAAGAACCACATTGAAGTTCAAATTTCTGTTTCTAGTGACCAACACTTCGCCCACAAAAGTGAAAAGTTCAAATAAGTTATTTTAAAGAAAGCAGAAGGTAAAATAATGAAACAAATATGCAATAATAAAACACTAAGGGCAAAATAAATTTATACATAACACAACTATTTTTCAAAATTCTTGCTTTGCTTTAGATGCCAGTTCGCCTTCTGGCTAAAAACACATTCTTCACACACGCTGGGAATGTTGAGGAAAACTAGTCAGCATTCAGAGGATTAATACAGATTTCCAGCTCTGTGCCTTTAGGCTTAATAGTCAGACATCTATTTGTCCTCAGGAGAGGTTAGGGGTTGAAATGCAAATATGCAAACAACTGAATTCTTTGTTAAGATATCAGGAAAAAGCTTGATCTTTACTGCTGTTTAATAAATCCTTGCAATTTTGTGGACTTATTTAAATGCAGCTTTGTGTCTTACTATTTTGAAGGAGAAAACAATGTAAGGAAACAAACACATTCATTCTGACTAAAATTTGTTCTCTAGAGGAAAAATGACATATACCCTTGACAGCTTATTTACCAAACTCACTAAAGATTTATTGATTTATCAATCAGTGCCTTGAGCATTTGCTTCTCCCCAAGGGAAAATTAACAATTCCAGCTAACCTAATATATTCTATGTATAAACTAAGTGAATGCAAGAATCAATCCTGGCACAGTTTACAACATCCAGCTAAAAAAATTCTGTCCCTTTTGGTGTATGTAAAATTGAAAGCTATACTAACGAAGAATAAATGCTCATGTTGCTTACAAACATAAAAAATACTTATTAAGACAGTACAATTGAACCCAACAGACATTTTAATTCATTTAAATACTCAGTGGGAGGCAAAAGCATTGGAAAATAAAAAATGGAATGATTTTGCTTCCAGATTAATACTAAGTACTACCACTATTAGTTACAATACTGACATGCCTCAAAGCAGAGATATTTCAAAGAGCTACAAATTCTCTTTTACTTCACCTGCAAAAGCATAAGCCTGAAAATTAATTAGTGGTTTGATGATGTCAGAGCAATATAAGAATCCCAGAAGATAAAAATTAAAATCTAGGAATATTTTGTCATTCAATAAAGAAAGAAAATATTTTAACACAACTAAAATGGTGTCAGCGAGAGCAAAATGCAGTAAATGTAAGATAGGCTTTTCACTATCAAAAGTAAAAATATCCCAAATATATATAAATAGAAGTATAAAGAACTGGCAGAGAAGCTCAGTGCATCACTGGTACTGTGCTGAACCTTTTTTGCAGCACCTGATTCCTCCAGGGGCCCACAAACCACCCGACCTCCATGAGCTAAGGAAGCACAGGGAGCTCAGACACAGCCAAGTGCTCCCTTTAAAGCCAGGACCAACAATTCCCTGCTCAGGGATCCCCTCCCAGGCCCCCAGGATTGTCCCTGGCAGAGGAGGGGCTGCTCCACAGAGGCCCTGTCCTCACAACCAGCACCTTCCCAGCAAGACACATTCCACAGGAGCAGCAGAATCCAATGCATAACACCAAGCACAGATTCTTTTAGATCCTCGTGCACATAATTTCATTCAGCTGAAGTTTTATTATAATCCACAGAATTTACAGTTTTGTTAAACGTTAAGATGTGCATTTAGAGAAAAATCCTCAAGATATGTAACGATCCCCTTCCTTCTTTTAAAATCAAATTAAGTATGAAAATTGCCATCCAATCCCAGGAAAAAAAGACAGGAATTGTTGTAAAAGACTGCCCTCTGGTGTTACACCAATTCTAAATTCTGCTTTATACTTCAGATTCCCCCCAACCACCCCGCTGCATTTTTTTATTATTATTTTTGCTTTTTTTACCTGAAAGAACCACCTCCAGGGTCATTCAGCTTGTTTTTCTGATTTGCAGAGACCTGAACACCAAAGCCCCCAGGACTTTTACTGGCTTGTATTGTTGGTGCCTTCCCTACTGTGCCTGAAAAACACCAAGCAATGTTATTATGAGCTGTCTTAGACAATTTACATCAAAGAACCTTCTGTCCAGGAACTAAATTTAACTGTCTGTAAATTGCAAACAAAGGAAGATATTATTTTTAAAGACTATATGCTGAAGAAGAACAATTTAAAATACAAAATTTATATTAACATTACAGTTTGTTCAATATTTATAGAACAGTGAAGATTCCAAAACTGAAAACCACTGGCCATGAACAGCTGTAATATTTATAATGGCTATAAGTGTGTTTGCAATTGCCAGTAAACCACTTTTCTGGATAAACTGTACAGAATAAAGAAGGTGAATTTGAAATGTTCTTAATACAAATACTTAAACTCAGAGTTGCTCAGGGTATTAGCTATGCCTTTTACATTTTGTATACAGCAATTGTCCTTTATTGCAGTGAAAAACATGTATTTCAGAATTGAAAGTACTGCATGTATTTTAAAATGTTCTGCATCACACTATTGCCAAATTTGACACACGCCCCCCATAAAGGTTGTCTTTTGCTTCCACATCTTGAAAACAAAGACTCAAAAATAATTCATGTCTGTATCTAGACTTTACAAGTCTTGAAGTACAAGAGGGCTTTCTAGATGAGCCAAAGTGTGGTGGACATTCAGTAAATTAAAGAGATCTAAATTCCTCTCTGGCATGAAACTTTTGGAGTAGGCCCTCTCTGACTGCTCAAACACATTTACTTGGGTTACATTTTGGGCTTCCTTTAATCCCACCTGTGTTTTGGCATGTAAAAATAACTCAATCTACTTGACTTAAAAGATCTCACCTCTCCTGTGCATCACTCCATTTTATTGAGCATTACAGACTTTTGAGACTTTGAGAAGGATGTGAAGGCTGCTCCTGCACCCCCAGGGACTCAGTTGCACATAAATAGCATGGTAAGAACCTCAGTAGAGTTACAGTATTTTTCTTTCACGAATAGTAAAAACCTGAAACACAACTATCCTAATAAATCCTTTTAAGAACATTTCTTGGCTAATACAAAGCTGCTAGCTTTGACTGAGTCCTGCATTAGTTTGGTTTTTTTTTTATTTTGAAGTCTTCATCAACTCCAACAATCTTAAAGAGAAAATAATTTGATAGAGTTTGTTGAGTTCTCCATCTGTACAAATAAACTGTAATGTGGACTCTCAACATTAGCAAATAAAAAACCAGATTTAGGATTTCAGGCTCAAGGCTGGGGAATAAAAATACTTTGTCATCAGAATATTCAAGGTCCATGAGATGTCACAGACAGCATTGGTTCACGGACCAGGCAATTCATTTACCTATTTCAGATGAATTAATGGAAAGGTTTTCTACTCAGAGAACCGGAAGGAAGGAAAGAAATAATAATAAAAATTAGCAGATTTCTGCTTTGTACAATTAAGATCTAGAAGATTAAAAATGTACTAACCTTGAAAATTTTTGCAACGGCAAACAAAGTAACAACAGCACTCCTCCAAAATTACTACATTTCTTTGGAATCAGTATCAATGCTTTGTTTTCTACAGATTATACTTTTGATCAAAAAACACACCCAACACATATATAACCATATGGATATGGAAGAATTAAGTCTCACATTCATCCCAAGTATATGTAATTCTAGTCAATGGATCAGGCAAAGTGAATGTAAGATTTGGGATGACATTTGAGTTTTCTGGTTTAAATAAATTACAACTGTGCATGACTAAGGGTTAGACATAAAATATGATTAAAACATCCATTTTTATTATGGGCAGAGCATATTTTGAAAATTCAAATCACCTGTGGGCCTAGATATTTCATGGGATTGGTAATGACATACAGAGTCTTTCACCACTGCATCCTTGCTTCAAATTTTAACTAGCATGATCTAGAAAAATAAGCCCAAATTTAGGAGCTTATAAAATCCTAGCTGTATTTCAGCACTGGTTAAATAGCTGCAACAATACTCTATTTTATTATTTGGCTCTATTCCTCCATCCAATCCATAAGATGGAATTCACCTAATTATTATAGTAGTAGAGTGCTTTGGTAAAGGAGTGTGAATTTTTCATGCAGTAACAATGGTGTTACTTCCACTGGTGTAAAGTAATTTTATTTATATAAAGGTCCTTAAAGCATGACAGTTTTATCTAAACTACTGTTTTAAGAAGCATTACAGTCTGTTCACATGGATGTACTTAAGATACACTACACTTGGAGATTCACTCCTGTCAAGGAGGAAAATGCAGCACTTTGTGGAGATCAGCTCAGTTCTGAGGTAACTACACTTAACAAGTCACACTCCACAAAATTGTGCTACCAGAATTTTTATTTAGATGATGTCCTATTCCAGTATATTAGCTCCTTCTGCAGGAATACCTGGGTCAGTATAAAAAATCATTACACTGGTGTTTACAGTAAAAGGTTTTAACAATATATCACAATGACGCACTCTTGACAGTGCTGCCAGCACACAGGCAGCCTGCTCCCTAGACATGGGCTGCAGGATGAGTGGTTTTATTACTGGGATGTTTTCTAAATGCCTATTCTTGTTTGTTTTGCCCGTGTAAATAAAACCATATACTGGACAGCCTAACCAAACCTGTAAATTTGAATAAGCTCACCAGAAAGTAGGACCTTGCATAAACTGGCTTCTATAAAACTATCTGCCATAAGTCAAACTGCCAGTTAAGTTGCATTGCACTGGCTGATCAATGGCTGTCAAGAGTAAACTCATATTCTGAACCTACTGGTCAAAAGACAGATGCCAGTATCATGCAAACTCTCAGAACACTGCTGACATTCACAACTTGGAGACTGAACAAGCAAAGAAATGAAATCTGCCTTCACTCTCAAACACATTAGTCAGAAGTGAAAGCTCATGCTATAAGATGCATGGACACGTTATAAACTCAGGACATGAGTATAAGTGCTATCAAACAAACACATGTTATGGTGAGTAACTGTATTCCTTCCTAACCTGGAAAACAGCCTACAGGATTACAGTGACAGCTTGGTCTTTGTGTCCATTCAACCTTTGGATTCCCCTAGGAGAGCAGAGTAAGTGAAACATCAACTGTTGTTAAACATTTTTGATGCTTTTTTTCCCAAGGAGAATAGAAACAACCAAGCAATGAAGTCAAGTAGGCAGCAATAGCTTTTATATGCATTTGAACTAGTTTGAGTCCTGACTCAGTACCTGAAGATGACAAGCTCTGTATTCCATTACAAGCCCTCAATCTGTAAATGCCCACATCCAGTAAGGTACTCTCACACATATTCAGGAAAAATAAAACCCAAGCCTAAGAGATTCAGTGATAGAAAGAAACAAATGGGTATTTATTAGGAAGCAAGGAGGCTTCAAGAATCCTCTTAGAAAGTGGGAAGTAACAGGCCAACACTCATTTCTTTGTGTGCATCCAGATGAGGAAGGTGCATACAAACCACATTGGCTGTGGCCAATCATGTATTGTCAGGTTGCTGTAGCCAGTCTCTGACCTCACCAAAAAGTAAACATACTGACAGGAGTCAAAGAAAACCAACCTGAGGCATGAGAAATTTCTCTAGGGCTCCCACCTTGACTTCTGTACCTGCAGAGATGGGGACTACCATGTTCTACTTCAGGAGTATGAATTAGAAGTAGGATGATTAAACTGAGGCATCCACGAGGCTTCAGGAAAATGAATACTTTTTTTTCTTGGCCTAGACTTACAGTTTAGGAGAGTGAGAGCCAAGTTCCTGGCCTGGTTTAGAACTTTCCATGAAAAACTGCTAAGTGAGGAGCTAAACATATGAGAGTTTAGTCCTAAGGTTGTTCCAAAACATTTTACTGTGTTGGTCCAAAACACCTTGAAACTTCATACGAAAACATGCACTCTTCAGCCAGCATGAGGTAAAAATAAATGTCAACAATGCTGCCAATGTCAACACTGTGCATTTTTCCATGCTACTTGTTTGTAATTACAACAAAATTCATACAAAGGTAACAATCTCACTAAAACATTTAAACCCATACCTTGTGGTCTAATGGTCTGAGTTATTACCACTGGCATCCTAATCTGGGTAGTCTGGCAAGCAGGGGTTCGTTTCACAGTTTGAGCAGATGTTGACTGGATAATCTGCTATTATTAAAGAAAAGTATACTTATATTATACTCTTTATACACAAACACACACAACGTAAATACACTAATACCTGTAATTATCAAGATAAGCATGTGGGTCTCTACAAGCACAACCAGCTGGTGACAAAAGTCATGTTCATGTAATGCGTGTGGTTGTGTGTGTGTGTATATACCTATTTTGCCATTATGCTTTAAAAAAATTCAGTAATATACGACACAGATGTCATACCTCACAACCTTCACTAAAAATATATTTCAAACTTGTAAGGTTAATATTAAAATTCAGACTTTTGTCTTTAGACATTTTACTAGGAAGAAAAGCAGTTTTGTAGAAGAAAATGCTGCAATAATTGTAGTGGTATCCACCTACAAACATTAGGCCTTGCACTAAATATCTACGCTTTTTAAAAAAAACATACTAAAAATAAATTCTAAAATATTATGGGTTCCAAAGTCAGATATACACAAGAAAACAAACCAAGTTTTGTGGTGATCACATACTATGAAGCTTTTAAATGCTAATTTGATATTCTCAAGGTTTCACTTACTACTAATTCAGGTTCTGAAGTTCTTCCTTAAAACTAAACCTGGGTTAGAAACTTAAAATTTGACCCACAAACAAACCAAATCAAAAAGAAAACACGTGCAAGGGTCATGTTTAATCAACAGCAAAATGTTCAACAACAACAACAAAAACAACCAAACAAAAATCAACATTCATATGATCAGGGACAAGGTAGGCACAGATGTAATGAACCGAAGATTCAGAAAGATGTGTGGATGCTGCAGAGCTGTAAGAAACTCCATAAATAAACTCTGAAAATAAACCACTGGCAAACAGCTATCTGAGGAATATCCCATCCACAACTCTGGCAGGGCAACTTCTGACTCCTCCTGCTGCTCACAGTCACAACTGAGCTCCTCCCCTGTGTGAGCCTCCCGCCCTGGGATGCAGCATTCCCTCCACACTGCCCCTTCCACACAGCATCACTCCCACAACGAGTTTGTAAAACCACTGCACTCAGCTGGACAGCAAATGGCCAAAGCTCTGTTTGCAAAGCAACCTATGGAGAAAAGGAAAGGACAAACAGCATCTGCAAATGGGATGTGACAGCAGGATGAGCAATGTGGAATTTCCTGCTAATTCCATTAGCAGGAACCAGGGCTCCAAAACTGCAAGGGAGACAGGTGAAAACTACAAACAAGACAAGAGTAACGAGGGATCTCTGACGTATTCTGGAGAAAAAAACAAGTTGAGCCATTCTGAAGTTACAAAACTGCATTTTGTACATCCTAAAATACACAGAGTCAAAAAGTTATAATAAACCTGTGGCTGTAGAAGTATAAGCAATAACCACCCTGCAGAAAGCGAAAAGGGAAAAAAGATTAAGGATTCAGCTTCAACTATGGACACTGAAGGAAAATGGAGCATGTGTACTAAGCACAGAAATGGAGCACAGAGATATAAATTTACTTGTTCAAGACAGAGAGTGAATAGTCACACTCAGAGGGGAAAGAATAAAGCAGCTACCATGCTTAAAAAAGGAAAGAAACAGAAATGATCAGTGAAAATAACAGAAAAAAGTTGAATTAAACTGCATTTTGATGCACAGGAAGCATGAACAAGTGTGGTTTTGGTAAAAAGACAAGAATAATCCATGTTAAGAAAACATATATTGGTATGAAAAAGGAGAATGATGCCACTTTTACAATAATTTATTGGACCAGTTTGCAGAGAGTAGTGAAGAAAAGCTGTTGTACCTTAATGGACCAGAAGCCAGGCCATGAAGGAGATGTGTGGGACCTCTGGACAGAATTACTATATGGTATTACAGTAATCTTCTGCAATTGGATTTTTTTTTCACTCTCTGTGAAGCAACTTCTACAGTTCAGAACCAAGTTCTTTTTCCCTTGGTTAATATTTTCATGTGCATACCCTACAAAATGAGCCACTAACACCATTAAAGACAGGACAATATTTAACTATTTAAGATTACATAAATGGCAATGTTTTCTTTACTATCCAATACATTCCAGAAACTGTCTTTTGGCAAGTACTGTACTAGGACGTCAATGTATGTAGACACACAAAGTCTAGAAAATTATTGAGAAACAAACTCTTCCAAGGGGCAGAGACCAAAATCATTATCTTAAACTCCATAAAGAAACCAACCAGCAACAGGCACATACTCTCTCAAAAGAACAACTGCACCACAGCTCAGAGTAGCATCTGACACTAAATCCCAGTTTCTGTACTGGAATTTTAAGAAAGTTGTAATCTCCAGATCTGGAGGACACTAAGGAATTAACATGAGCAATTGGTTTCTGAAGCAGAGTACGTAACTTCTTTGCAGGCAACCTAGGGACATAGTAAAAACCAATGAATCAGAGGATCCTGCATTAAAATTTGTAACTATCTAAGCCGCACTTCATCAATTAAGATAATTCAAACTGTTCTAATCTTCTCGCCTGTTTCCCCAACATCATAAACACTACTATTAAGTCCTTAGCTTGACCTCAAAGTTGTAGACAATGAACAAGTGTACTAGCAGGCTGGTCTGGGAGATAATTAGCTTAAATTATTTCATATTTCTCACAGACTAAAACCATGCACAACAAGTGTACCCCATGTCAGGTTCTCTCTCCATATTCTGAACCAAAGCTGAATGCCATGGATCAGTTGACAAGCACTGACTCAGTCTGAGAGCAGACACAGGAGTTTTAGGCACTGAGGTTAGCAGGGATATTTATTACTCCTGCCTTCAGAAAAGGGGAGATCTCTGTGCTGCTGCAACCACCTTTGGGAAGATGAGGAGAGAACAGTCAGACTTCCTGAGATGTGCAGAGCAGAAGGATGTAGCACAAAAGAAAAGCCGGAATATAGGAGATTCCAAGGGAATACAGGGATTTCCAAAAAAAATTACCACGAGGGTGGGCAAGCTCCAGAACACGCTGCCCCTAGAGGCTGTGCAATTTCTTCTTGAAGACACTCAGAACATGACTGGTCACATAGGAGACATCCCAATGTGTAAGCAGGAGGCTGCACCTCCTGAGGCACCTCCAGGAGTCCTTTCAAACCTTTCACACTGTGTCCATAAACACACCATCACCAATTTTATTCAAGTGCTGAGTCACAAAAGTTGAAGAGACACAATACAAAAGTCTTCAGAGTGCACAGAAACTGCTCATCATTCCACCTCCCCTAGAAAGGGAAGCATTTTAATTATGCACACCTCTGAAGAGAGCAAGCACAATAACAGAACAACAAAGGCACAGAAAACAGAAAAGACAGAATGTGATTTAGTCGTTGCCTAGATTTGATAGAGTTAGGAAAATGGTAAAATTATCATCAAGAGAGTGTTGAGACAGCAAGTACTGTCATATACTAGTTATTTCTCTTCAATTTATCTGTCAAAGTTGAAAAAACATGTCCTAGGCTGCTGCACTTCAGAGCTCTTCAAGGAACACACTAAAGCAGCAAAGTCATGGCATTGCTTCTCCAAGTGCAATGTGTGAACAGTTATCTACATTTTTCTTCTATAAAATTACATTTTTCTGCAAAGATGTACATTTCTCACAATAAAAAGTATTCTCCCTCTCTTTTTATTTCATCTTTGCTCTTCTCCCCTTGTCATCTCTCTCCACTCGTCACACTCACTTTGATTTACCATTTGTCTGCTCTGCCAGAGCAGCTCCTCCTCTCGCCTCCTGAACACTGCAGATCCTACTCTGCCCTTTGCTAAAGCTGACTGTATTTTCACAGGTGAAAAAAGGGATGCTTATACAAAGGTGCTTCCATAAGATAGCAGGCTCATGAAGACAAAAAAGGATATACAACAATCACACTAATGATAACCAGAATAGCAAAGAGATGACAGCTGAAATACTCTTTTTTTTCCTAAGGGTTTTCTTCAAAAAGCGTAGATTTGGTAACTCTGAGAATAAAGTAATGGTTCTCTCTGGTCCGAATCTCAAGCCAAAAGGTGATGATCATTCCATGACATCTTCTACTGTGTAAGTTATTGCAGGACAGAGAACAAATCGTAGAGATGAACACAGACCAATAATCAACAGCAAAACCAGCAAGTACAGAGAAAGAATCCAGCCAAAGCACATCAAATGTACAGAAGCAGCAAGAGAACAGAAGTTATCAGTCTTTCTCATGCCTGCACAAGAGACAAAATTAAATGAGAGCCACTACCTACAAACCATTGAAAGGAAAATTCCTTTAGGACAATAAGATTAGAACTCATTGCTTAAGTTTCTGAGGACAAGGATTTTGCAAATCTCCTGGACCAGTGCAGATGCACAAGGTCCCAACCTTTACTTGATGAGGGCTGCAAAACCAGCCAGGCTCAATTCACAGGAATCATCGCCCTTTCCAACAAAAGCATCTGATCTAAAGGCTTAAACCTATCAAGTACTGCAATAAAGACAAAAACACAGCAAACAAGAGCTTCTGGAAAGAATGAAAAACAAAAATAAATTTGAAAAATATATCCTTTACCAAGCTTTTTTTTTCTCTCAATTAAGTTAAAAAAATAAAGTGGAAGGAAGAAACAAGACATGCATAAACACATAAAACTCAGAATGGCTGTGGTCTGATATGACATTTATCTTCACTCATGAGTAAACACTTGCTAACTCACTTGTGGCTATGCCACTTGTGATTTATCAGTCTACTCACTCCTGAAGATAAATGTCATATCAAACCTCAGTTATCATGTAATCTGGCAGCATTAACTTACAATGTTCATGCTTTCATGGGCCTAGAATTCATATTTACCATTGCTTACCATGCTACAGTACCAGCTACACTTTTTCAATGGTGCCACAAAATCTACACAGGCCATTATTTTTCCTCCCAAATTAAAAAAAAAAAAAAATCAACACTATTTTAATGTTAATATGACAACAATACTATTCCATTGAGTATAGGCTTTCAACAAAGAAATTAAGAACAATAAAACAGAAGCCAGGACATCACTTGTTCCACCTGCTCCTCAATTTATTACATAATTCTTTCTACAATGGTCAAATGGTCTACTTTTGAGTGTGTTCAATTATGGCTTTTTCACCACTGTCTTTGGGAGCCTGATTTACCACCTAACATTCTCTCTTACTTTAAGGATATTTTGCCTTATATCCTACCTAAATCCTACTTCATTTATTTCATATTTTTACCATCTTGGTCTGTTCCAAATAATGAATTTTCCCTTTTATTCTCCCTTACAATCAGTGTGTGAACAAGTTCTGTGTGTTCAATTCTCTTAAGCTTTTCTTTTAATCTTTGCTTTCAAGCCTGGCCTTTTGTTATTGGTTTCCAAACAGCAATCAGTGACAACACTCTCCCTATGTTAACGTACAGCCCACAAAATTCTGAAAATGAAGTCCATGATAACTCAGAAAACCACTACGCTGTGTTTCAAATAGGCACAGAATTTGTCAAGTACAGGCTTTGTTCCTGTTAATGGATCCCAAATATTTACTGCTCAACAGCCATTTTTATTTATATTTTACTGCACACCAAATTCCACGTCAGTGGCTAGATCTTTATTACTCAATTAATAGAAAATACTCCTTCTATCCAAACAGCCATCTATTACTCTTCCATTTCTAAGATGCCTTGCAGACAAGAAAAAAAAAAACTATTTCCTAAAATTTCACTAAAATGCGTACGAATTACGCTCATTCATGAACAGAAAAGTGATGCCAGAAAAGCTCCAGTGGAGAATTAAAAAGCCAAGTGGAACATCCCCATTTAACACAATTCTTATTCTGCTGCTCTATCTTGTTTCCAAATTCCATTACTCTATCTCAACTCTGAGAGACCCCAACCAGTGTGACAGCGCAGGGAAAGTGTCAGTAAATGTTTGAGCAAATCCTGCTCTATGTAACTTAGAATATGGCAGAGCTTACCCTCTGGACACTGTGTCCTATCAGTGCAGCTGAAATGGTGCAGATATATTTCCATACATCCCTCTAATCCTGGACCTGCATGAATCTTTATACAGTTTTATATAAAATTAAATTTGTTTTAATTAAGATGGATCACTGATTTTCTTACTGAGGTTTTTTTATCACTCAAATTTAATATTTGTCTTTAACTTCCAGGAGTACTTTCTCCATATGATGCAGACATTGTCAACACAACACAAAGTGCTAATCCATCTCCACTACCCATCAAACCTCAACATGTGTTATAAACAACACGTCTCTTATTCACACAAATTTTACTGCTGCAACACCCAAAACAAGACAGGCAATGTCTGCATACACAAGGCAACACAGAGCACATGAACTCTAAGAATGGCAATTTAGACAAACTTTGAACACTGCCCTTAGAACAATTTAAAAAACGGATTGCTGGCTTATCTCATAAGTGTCTCATCAATAAAATATTAGCTTAAAACTGTTCCCCTTTTCTTTATGTAGAAGTAGCACTATCTAGCTTTATACAGCATTGTTCTTCATAGCTTGGAACATGATTCCAGTGCTCTACAAAACAGCTTACAAGTCTCCTGTTTCATCTCTGCTAGCACTGTACATTTCAAAGCCTTTGTGCAAGCTCTGCTGCATGCTGACAGTGCATACAAGATTTTCACATTGCAAGGTACCTCAATGCAACTGGAGAAAGCATCACCACAGCTGACACCTTTGAGAAACAGAAAAGACAAAGGAAGGAACAGCTAACAGCCCCTTCATGTTTTAAGGGAAACTGGACTCCTGTAAACTGGCTGGTATGAAAAGAACCATAGTCTAAAACAAGCTTGCCCTTCTGCAGCTGGACAGTTTGCAAAGCCAGCTGGAACCCTCTCCAATGAGCTTCAGGCTTGGAAAACCTGGAGCTCAGCCAGTTCTTCCATCAGTGCTGGCTGCCCTCAGGCAAGGCAGCTGCAATCTTCCTCTCCCGGACAAGTCCAAGGCAAGATGGCCAGCAGCCCTGTGCTCTGATTTCGGGGAGCACTGACAACTGGGACAGTGGGAGCACTGTCACTGCAAAATAACCAATACTTATCAGCAATTACTGGGCTGATATTGCGCTGCTGCTGTGCTGTCTGCTTGGCACTTGAGCTGATGGTTGCTCTGCTGAGATCTTTTGATGCAGTAACTCTTGATTTCTGATGCTGCTTTTGTCTGTACAGAACTACTCTGAGGGTCATTAAGTGCCTGGTTAAGTAGTGTTTGATTCTATTACCTAAAGACTGATAAATTTAAAGGAAATATGAAAAACAGTTTCACACTAAAGCAAATATACTATGATTCTTAATGTCTTCTCCCTATTAGATATATTTTTATAGATTATATCTTTTCCAGAAAAGAAATAGTATTAACCACAGCTTTGCCTTGTGCAGTTTGTGACCTTTTGAAAATGTAGGGTCATTTCAAGTACCCAGTAAATGAGAATTCAGCCCTAGACCTGTGACCTCCTTACAGACAGAAAACTACTTCTCTTGCCCATCAGATCAATCTCCACAATGTTACTTGAGCAGCTTTCAGCTCCTCCTATTACCCATGCATGTCAGAAAAGCTCTTCACATTGTTCATCTCTACTCACATCATAACTGCTTGCTTAGAGTATCCATTGACATGGGACAGGCAGAACATGCCTCTCCCAGAAATCTAGTTTTATCCCAACCAGAAAATGCTCCAACAGAACTATAATCACAAGAGTAAGAATTCCTGTGGTCTTACCCACTTTTGTCCTACATCAGTGTTTCTCAAAAGGTGTGGTAAAACCTGCCCAGTGGGCACAGGAGCACTTAAGGTGGGCTGCACAACACTGGAACAAGCCATGTTACATGGCAGTAGGCTAGCCTTAGATGAGATGAGGCCAGACTTACTGGCCATGGACACTTCTACCTCTAAGCAATCTGTCAGCTGCAGGCAGAAATTTGCTTAACCTGGGACAGAGAGTAATTTTTCCACTTACTGCCTAGAATTATCACCAGTTTCTACTCTTCTGCCTAGAAGAGCCAAAGCTATTGTCCATTCAGTCATGAAACATGGACAAATCAAAGAGATGCCACAAAAAGCATGAGGAACACTTTTCTAATTAATACAACAATCCAGACAGGATGGGGAGAAGCCATCTCAGAAAAAGAAAGCATGCAAGTGGCTGGACCTGCCTTGAAGCAGCCAAGTTAAGGTGAAAAACATCCAACTGTCCTGTGTGTATTACAAGTGCCAGAGTCACAAATCTTACCACTCAAGATGTTCTTACACATTGAAACTATGCTTACTAAAGGATTATTAAATTACATTAATTTTATTTTAAAGTTAATTATTTAACCACTAGAAAGTGTTTGTAAGGTTCAAGACACAGCTCGGGTATTTTCACACTGTGCACTGCTACTTTTAAACTAAAGCAAGAGATATTCTCTCTCCACATACCTTACAAATTATTTATATGCTTTATAGATCCTATAAACTCAAGGACAAATCACTGTAAGGTTTTACACTATCACATTTGCATTTCTCCACCTCGATGATACAAATTTTTACCAACTTCATACATGTTCTGGAACCTCTCTATATGATTTTGAGACCTAAGTGAAGTACTTTACTCACACATACACAGAAACCACAGACAAGGAAACTCTCACAAAGGATAGTAATACCTGTATAAACCCAAGGTCTTGTAAAAATCCTTAACATCTTTTAATTACGAGTGCAAACACACACACACAAGATCCTCTGTAACAGCAGGATAAAGTCACCACACTCTCAATGACTACCTGGCTGTGCAACTGCCTTACTGCTAGTGCCTTTGAAATTATTGAATCTAAGCACTTAACACTCCACAATGCACAACAAAGATACACTTCAGTGAGTAACAGAGAATGGCATTATTGCTAAACAGAACACCTGGTACAGCACAGCTATTCTTCTACAAGATTTTACAACTATGTGCAGAAGAGTTTAAAACAAGAGTTCATTTTAATTTTAAAGCAAAGCAGCATACCTAATGACATACTCAACATTATATTCTTGCCTGTAAATCCTGCAAAGCTTTCTGTTCTACATTTTTAATTCCCTCAGATTCCACTGTGCTCATACAACAACCACTCTATTATTGCAGACAAAAAGAACAGGAGTGCACTTCCTTAAATTTATGTTAATAATCTTATCTGAAGTAATGGTTGAGCATCAATGTGAAATGACAGAAAATGAGGTACTACCACATATCACAGAATACGATACAAACAAAAAAGAATTTTCCCAAACAAGCTGCAATGAAAGTGACACTGAAAACTGCTACACAGTTCATTAAGAAATTCTCTTTTATACTACAGTACCTACCAGTTGAGAACTCTGATTTGACTGTACCACCTTAACCTGAGGAGGCTGCACTGTATTTGATACAGAGACTGTGCAAATGTTGTTTGGTTGCCTTATTCCTATTGTCTGTGTTGTGACAACAGAGGAGATGCTTCCCGAGGCAGACTGAGGTATAACTTGAGAGAGCTTGGTCTGTTGGAGTGACTGCTGAGACGGCTGTCCTTGCAAAACCAAATGCTGACTATTCAGTAAAGATTGTCTCAGTGCAGGTAGACTTTTCTAAAAACAGAAGAAAGTTTATGAAATATCAAACTTAGCAGATTGACAAAAATAATTTTGAATTTGCTGTAAACATAATTAACTGCCTGTTCACCAAACAGAACTAAGATTGAACATGCATTGTAAGAGAAAGTTCAGTTTTTAATAAGCTTTCCATTTGGATTTAACAACCCTGTAGATTTTCACATGCCTTTAATTCCATTATAGCAGAAAAATCACTCTTCTTCTCAAGACTATCTAGAACTTGTACCTTAGGTCTTTGGAAGGGCAAGAAATAGAAGCAGAAAAGGTAGAACCATGGAACAACCCCATTCCCAGCAAGCTGCACCAATTTACTCCTCCTAACACACCTCCAGTACCTACAAACAAATGATTTCCCTCTCGGTGCCCTACAGCAATGGCTGTTTATTGTATTGTCTGAAGTAAGGTATTGTGAGGGAATTAGAAAAGTGTACTATTGTAAGTCCCATGTTCATACCATTTCAAGGAAAACATACTTCTAAAAGGCTGTGCTGTACCTTCATGAACAAACTTTTTACTTAAGTGGCAGAAGTGTTCTTTTGAAGTGCTCCCCCAGGCAGCTGTAGAATGCAACAGTGTTTAACCCAAGCTACAGCTCTTTCTAAACTTCTAATATTGATTTAAAAACTTGATGCCTCTTGCCCAGAAAGGACTTCAAAGAATGGAAATAAATCAAAACTCATCATGATGCTAGAAGTGACTGCAGTAAAAGCCATAAAGCAGTGTTAATGAGAACTTGAAAAAACAGCAGCAGAAGCTCTGAAGCAAAGTTGCAAGGAGAGAAGAGAGAGAAAATCTGCCCTAAACACAGAAGTTTTGAACTAGACCAAAAATACTTTTTAAATCATATTTGTAGTTTTATTGGGACTTAAACATGCTTTTTGTGTTTGTATATAATTCTGCATATGGAAGTTATTGCAGCTAATTTATAGAACCAACAGCTAAATTTACCCCTACGTACACTAACTTAGGACCCCACAATCTTAAACATGCTTTTTGTGTTTGTATATAATTCTGCATATGGAAGTTATTGCAGCTAATTTATAGAACCAATTAACAGCTAAATTTACCCCCACGTACACTAACTTAGGACCCCACAACAAATCCATTTGGTATCATATCAGAAATTCTACTGTTGATTAGCTCCAGATTAGACGCAGAATCATCTAATCAACACTACCCAGTTCAGTTCTTCATAATCATTGTTACATGTGGATTGAAAGTTATCAATGACTCAAACACAGATTAGGAAAAACGTATGGAAACAACTTATTAAATTACTTGAAGCATTCTGTAAAATAACTTGAGACTCTTCGAAATGTGAATGTTTTTCTTCTTCACAAAAAATTACCTACTATCACAGAAAAGTGTATTTATTCTAAAAGTAAAGGATCACTACAGAATAGCCAATGGATAGTTTCCAAACTAGGGAGTAACTGGTTTTTTTAAATCTGATTACTGAAACATTCTAGATCAGGGCAACTCGAACTGTGAACTCCTGGATGACAAATCCATTTCTGTAAAACTCAGTCAAGGTCCCGAACACACGAGGTCTCCCTCCTGTGGGAACTCCCTGTTTCTCAGCACTGTGCCAGGCTCTTGGAGCAGCCCACTCCAGCTCAGAGTAGCACCTGCCTGGCTTGACACAGGTGCAGCCTGCACAGCACTTCCAGCCAGGAAGATCTTGGCAAAAATGGGCAGCATTTAGAAGTAAAGGAAGGGTAGTCCTGGACCAGTGAAGATAACACTATTTAAAAATTATATTCTAAGATTTAATGCAATGAAATTTGGCTCTGAAATAAATTTATCCAAACAATATTCACATTACCTTAAGGAAAGGTACAAGATATGGCTGAGGAGATGATTTGAGCTCTGTTTGAAGGCGGCCTGTAAATTCTTCTGGATCAATCTTTGCATCCTTCAGGGTGAAGAAAAAAAAGCATCAACATCTCAGTTCAGTTGTTTGGTTGCCTCTTTCCCAGCTACTATATACACTTATCTCTCTAACTAAACAGGGTGCCATATCAAAAACTTTCAGACCTAAGTCCCTTAACTCCTCTCTAAGATCCTTCTGCCAAGCACTAACTCAGACATGTAACATGCCACTCAAAATGCAGAGAATTCCCTTGGGGAAGCACTACTTCAGACAAAACGAGGCCCCAGAAACACTCAAGCCTCTTTTGGGACTCCATTCTCTTGCTAACATTTACATAGTGATTTCTTTTTTTTAAATTAAAAGAAAACAACAACAGGTTGTTGATGTAACCTTAAAAACATGAAATTTGTCAGCCTTTGTAATAATTCCAAAACCAATTCTGATGGTACAATTTAACTTGTAGAATCTATATATATAAAACTATGTATGTAAAGCATGGCCATACATAAAAAGCATGCTTATAAGTAGATATAAAATTTTCTCCTCTATGAATTTATACGTATACTCACAAAATACACACATATCAAATACATAATCAGTCATTTATTTAGTAGCAATTCAAGAGAATTCTAACTCGGGCGCATTTTATGATACTTCTAAAGTATCATTAGTTACAACTTCCGGTTGTAATAAAAAAATGAACAAGAGAAAAACCAAACCAAATTAAGCTTCAATATATTTATTATTTATGTGTGTTGTTACTTTGTTTAAAATACTATAAGTAGTTACCTTTACTTATTTAGTCTTTTCAAGTTGGTAAAAGTTAAAACAAGTTTTCACTGGAATCACTGAATATGATTGTTGAACAGCTCCCACTTGAAAACAGCCTTAGGCTTGTCTAAAATATACAGCTTTCTCTGGCAATGAATTCAAAGAAATGCATAGCAACTACTTTTATTTCCAAGTTTTTCATAGACTATATTACATTTCTTTTAAGAAGCTTGACTCTTTTCCCAGCTCTGTCTGCAGCTCATTTATACAATTCCCTGCAGCATCTGTTGCACTGGAGACTGCAGCCAGTGCAGCCTTTTTGTGGCCAGAGCACTCGAACTTTGTCTCTGGAAACCCCCGTGCCACTAAGGCACCTGCCTGCAGAACAGCGAAAAATCAGCAGCTCAGGAAAATACTCCTCCTTCAGTTTTAGAAACTCTAACCCATGTTGTTAAGAGATTGTATCTACAGTCATTCTGTGCCTCAAATATTAAGAGCTTCTTGTTTTGGAGAAGAACAGGGTTTGGAGGAAAAAAAGAACTTAAATTCTCAAGAAAAAAATCCCACATTTTACTAAAGGAAAAACCAAAGTATTATTCATCCAAACAAGAGTGGCTTTGATAACTGCCTACTGAATACTTTGCTGCATCTCCCCTTTCAAAAACCAAGAGAAAGTCTGCCTTTAACAGATTTTTTAATATATAAAACATACAGAATATTGCATTTTGATGACACCCAACCCCTTTCATTACAGCCAAAAGTATTGTTAAGATCAAAGCAATAGTTTTCAGCATCCATAAGTAAGAAGTTTAATAGATAACTGACAAAATAAACAGTAACTGAATATTTACCAACAAATCTTGAACCAGAGCTTTCACATTGCGGGACGTTTCAGGAGATGGTGAATTATGAGAAGCAAGTTTTATAAGGGTAGCTAAAAAGTTTTTACATTTTTTCACATTCTCTTGCATTTCCTGAAAAAAACAAAGAAAACAACTATTAGCTTCATGCTATTTTTTCATCACAATCAATGCATGCTCTGACCACTACAAAGAAGGAAAATGATGAAATTTTTCTAATTCAGGTCATATATGAAACATGTTTTGCTATTACTGCTTGTTACCTGAGATTTTTCTTATCTTCTTTAGGTAACTGAACATCATAGCTCGCAAATAACAACAAAAAAATCAATGGAAGAAATATATTTTATATTTTACAGCCTCCTTTGGTACAAATAACCTTAAATATGAGAAGTAACACAACAATTTGCTGGAGATGAATTCCCCTTTGAAATGCCCAACAGACAAGGTAAAAATATTCCCCAAGCTATCTTAATTTGTTAAATTATTGATTCAGTGTGTTTTTGTACAAAGCAGCTACAGCAGTAAAATCAAATTGGAAATAAGTCTTCAAACATCATCATATCTGATTTTTTTTTCACTAGTAGTAAAACAAGCCATTATTTTTATATGGCACAGTTGCTCCAAAAACAGAAACATCACGCTTCAGGGTAACCATGGTTTTGAGGCTCAGCAACAGGACAGTCCATAGACCAAAGGCATGACTGTTCTGGCTGCAGGAACAGAGCTTTCTTTCACTAGTGCCACATACATGGCAGGTGGGGAGAGCCGACCACAAGTGTTCTTGCTCCCTCCCTGCCAGCATTTGTATGTACCCCATTTGGCTGAAACCAGGGAAGGGTTCTCCCGTTTGCCAAGTACTTGTCCCATCAGGGGATACATGCTTGCCTGAGGAAAAAGCTCTTCCTGCTTCTGAACACACCCGAGGAGCTCCCAAAGCAGTAAGAACACAATGTTTCCACCATGCCCGCACTTGCCTGTGACACCACGGTGGTTCCGGGCACAGGCGAGCTGGGGATGACCAGGGGCTGCGCTGGCACCTGCGCTGCCGTGTGAGGGGGCAGCGGCAGCCGAGGCTGCCCCGGGGGCTGCCCCGAGCCCTGGCTCTGGGCGCTGCTGAGCACTGCAGCCTGCTGGGGAGCTGAAGTTCCACTTGCTACCGTCGTCTTGAACAAATTTTGAGCGCTTGTCGTAGCTACTGATACCTATTAATATTTTATATTAAAAATATTAATGTTCACTTGCAAAAAAATATGAAAATCATAGAACAGTGTGGGTTGGAAAGGAACTTAAAGCTCATCCAGTTCCCCTATCCCAGGCCGCTCCAAGCCCTGTCCCAACCGGGCCTTGGGCACTGCCAGGGATCCCGCTGGGCCTCCCCACCCTCCCAGGGAAGAACTCCTCCATGCATCCACCTGGATGTCCCCTCCCCGCCCGCAGCCCGAGCAGTGTCCCCAGCCCTGACCGTGGTGTGTGACAGCACAGCCCCTCCTGGCAGCGTGGCCGTGGCGCTGGCGGGCGCCGCTGTGGATGGCACCACCTTGGCTTGCACAGGGAGGCCCAGGCGGACGCTGGAGGTGGCCACGGACGTTGGCTGCTGGTAAAGGAAAAACGAGCGTTTTACTTTATTTTCTCCTTAGTAACTTGATCTCCAAGGCTTTTTAATAATAGTGATTGTAAGAAAAATCATTATTAATACTGTGGGAAAAAAATCAAACCTAGTAATATGCTTTTATATATATTCACAAATACTGGAAAAATCAGCTTTCTCACGTTCAATGACAGCTTTGCAGTATTTCCCCTGAAAGTTATTACTTGTACAGCTATATGGAAAAGATTAGAAAAAACAAATGTGACCTGCAAAAAAATTGATGTTACATTGATGCATTAATTCAGTTGTAATATTTACATGTCAGTATTCATCAATATTTGAGTTTATCATTGCCAGTAACACATACTGGTCCTCTTGGTATTTATGGGCCTGTTGTAGTGCTTTTTCTGCATGAAAATTAATATGGGCAGAAAATTTAGAAAGCAGAAAAATATTCTTAAAATAATTTCAGATTGGATTATATAGAAATTAACTTGCAGAGAAACGAAATCTAAGCACTGGGAGAGCCTTTGTCATAGAACACAGACTCTGTAACCAGACAGTAACTGCAATATGGAGAGCACACAAAGGAAAATGACTGACCTACAGCCTTTCAGGCAGCTGTACATTCTACAGCTCAGGAAATTTATCTTATTTAGCAATCATATTACTTATTTTGTGATTTACTTTCATTGCAAGACTGAAATCTCTTGCCTTCTTACAAAAGGACAAGATTTAGGAATTAAAAAATGTCTCCAGAGAAGTTACTTAATTCTGCAGGAAGGTAAATACCATTATAAATGAAATGCATCACACAATATGGCAATTATGACAAAATGAGAACCACACATTACTAAAAATGGAGGCCACACTGGTGTCTTACAACTTGCATTTATTAAGATTTGCATTCACACACTTGAAAAAGACAAATTTTCTAAGTGGATAGAGTAATACATCATGGCTGATGTTGCTTCTCACAAGATAAAACTAGTTTTCCTTGATTTAAATTTTAATTCATATATCTCCAAAATTCATATTTTATAAAGAACTGCTTATTTTAGATTCTTACATTGTCCATTAAACTTACATAAAACATTTCTCCAAAGAACATCTAGTGTACTCTAAAATATCTCCAAAAGGAACAGAAGCCCAGGCAGGCATTCAAAGCCCCAAGGATTCCTTACAAATCAGTCCAGCAACATCATCTACTAGATATCAATCTTCTGTACTTGGGGAAAAAAAGGAGGAAAGAAAACAAATGAAATAAATCTACCTGACATCTGAACAAACCCCTTTTTTTGTTTGTATAGCTTCCAAGATTTTTAAAATCTTGACTAGGGATGCCTTCCATCCTGAGATAGCCTAGAGACAATAAACAACATCATTATGAAGAGGTAGAATTATCTGGTTTTTTGTAAGAAGGACCACATAAAGCTTCTTCTGTTTTAAACATCTGACATCTCTTTTCTCCATTATAAAAATGACCAAGTATTTTAAAATACTGGTTGAATGAAATTATATCAACCCAATGAGTGCTGCATTTCAAATATAAATATTGTGTATCTTATTCACTTGCTTATAATCAGTTTCCAGCCTAAGAACATAGCATGCCTGTGATATCTGCCCCTTTATCAGTCTGGGCTTCCAGAAGTGAGGATTTAGGAAAAAAGCAGAAAACCAGAGGCATTTCTGGCAGCTACTAGCTTCCAGGCAAGACCTGCAGCCAGAAATCCACAAATACAGAGTGAGACTGTGAGCTAGAGAATTTTTCCCACCTAATAAATGCCCATTATTCATCTCAGCAACATACTTGAAAATAAAACTGCACATAATTAAAATATAAATTTTCACTATTATAATGCCCAACTAAGAATGTATTCCCATGTGCCAGACCTCAGCAGCAAACTGTGAAACCTGAAAACTAAAATCACCCTTGGTTTTAAAAATCAATAGTGACAAAAGCCTTTAATAGAAAATGGCAGTAAAATCTACTAAAGTGCTGGATATGAAGAAATCCCTCACCACCAGACAACTGCAAACAAAGTAATGCAATGGCTTATTAATGTGGATCCAAAATTTAGAAGGGTTAAAAGGTAAGTCTGAAATGAAGGGATGAGAAACGTAACAAGGAACTAGCCTGGAGAAATTCTTAAATATCATGAAAATTATCTTCAAGTGACAGCTACAAGTTGCCAGAACATACTCAAAGGATTCCCAACATGAATGCTTTGAGAACTGATAAAAATTACTTAGAAAGAAAAAGCTGTGTTTTCTATGAAGGAAACTTGTAAACAGTTCTCATGAGAAATATGTCAAAGAGAAAACAAAAATTATCAACATTATTTTAACAAAAAATCACAACCCAGTGTGTCAAGTTCCTACTGGAAGAATCTAAAAGAATTCATGATGTTCCTTGAGGAAAAGCTGCTGAGGGTTGGTAGGATGCTACTAAATTCTGAAATTACCAGAAGAGTTAGAAAGAAATACATTTTCAAATATAACTATTGGTTTTTATTAGATAAATCAGATGTTTTTACATTCCCTAAATACACAGAAATAACACTGAAGAGCCTTTTGCCCTGTACTCAGACACTGACAGGCAGGAACCCAGACCACGAATGAGCACAGTCAATAAGCTGCTGCTGATGCCCACTGGAGGCTGCATCTGCACACAGACCTGAGCTGCCTCTGTCCACACAGCACACTGCTACAGGGGAAAGGAGGATTTCAGGAGGGACAGCCTGGGAGGGGCGATCCCAACGTTTGTTCTGCCTGCCCAAGTCACACACGTAACACAAGTGAATGAGGGTGCAACAAGTCACTTCCACTTAGGCTGTCAGAGCACACTGGAATTGTTCAAAGTGCAGAAATACCCTGCGTCCTATAAATTAATTCCTTGAACAACATCTTTACTGTCCTTCTCCCCAGAGCTCTGGGCACATGAATAGGGAGGCAAAGCTTGGAAGAGAATCCACTGTACCTGCTGTGCATAAACAAGCTGTCTCTGTACTTCCAGGAATACACAAGGCTGCATCTGAAAAAGCAAGTCACTTGAATATGGAGAAAACAATCAAAATAACCAAAGATTATTTATCACTGCAAAGGCAGGAGTGTACCAATTTTAGAGATTGTATTGCATATTCACAGCTTTATGAAATGAAGTCAAACTGTCAGAGATTAGTATGCAAATCCTTGGGAGCAGGTTTGGGTTACACTTGTATTACTATAGAACCACCTACAGACCAACCCTCCAGGTACCAGCAGCACAGGCTCTGCACTAGAGCTCACTTTTGACAAGTAAGTTCCATACATTTTTCATGACCATTCCTGTCAATAAACTTGGCCACTGTCAACCAAAAATAAGAAAATACCCCAATCACATTCGAACAAACACAAAAGCCAAGTTTTTCCACAATACAGATGGTGAAACCTCTTTACATCTTCCAATACATGGCTTCACTAAGTGTTATGCAAAACTCAAATTTCATAAGATCTTTAAGTCTGGATTTAAGTTTGCAAAATCTGAAATGAAATTAAATTTTACTTCTAATCATTAATGTAGAAGACTTCTTATAAACTCAACAGACCATGCTAAGATGCCATCTGAGATGCCTCAAACAATCAAGGGCACTGTTTAACAAAGAGAAACTGAAGTGGGATCACAGACACTGGCAGAAACATAAGCTAAAGGTCAAATCTGGGAGCTCACCTGGGACTAAAGTTAAACCCAGCAAGAAAGGAGGGGTGAGGAGAACCTGTTTTAAGATTTAGTTTTCATTTCTCATTATCCAGCTCTGATTTGATTGGTAATGAATTAATTCCCCCCAGTCGAGCCTGTTTTGCTGTGTCAGTAACTGGTGAGGGATCTCTATCCTGACTCACAAGACTTTCCTTACATTTTCTCTCCTCATCCAGCTGAGGAGGGCAGGGATGGAGAGCCTCTGGTGGGCACCTGGTGTTCAGCCAGGGTCAATTACCACATAATTTTTTAGTAACTAACTCATACAACCTTTCCTCCAGGCATGGCTGTAGCCTGAACTGCTATTAATCCATTAAGTGTTCTCCATCAGCAAACCCTGCTTCCCGAGACTGAAACTTCTCCAGAGTTCATGGAGAAAGTCCACAAGCTGATTGACTGCCTCTCAGTTCCTCTGGTTCCAGTTCACATCAACAGCCACTTCAACGGCAGATGCAGAGAAATTTTATCAGAGATTTGATTTTTTTTTCAGCCTAGTAAAAATACAGCAAAACTGACCCAAAGTATTATCCCTTCAAAAGTCTAATCTGCACACAGTTACAGACAATTACTGGAAACAGCATCTCTAAAAGGTCAGACAGCAGAGGCAGAACCTTCACTGCCACCACAGTGTCACTGAGTGGAACATCAGAAACCAAAGCAGGGAGATGCTGCTCTGCTCCTCACATGCACAGTGTCCCTATGGGATAACAGGGCAGGAACACACAGGGAGTGATTACACAGGACAGGCAGAGGAGTTTGGGGCCACAAGAGAAAACTCTCAGAAACCAGGGGCTCTAAGTCCAAAACCCCTACTGCTGAAGCAAATACTTATCAAAGCACTTTCCCATGTTCTGGTCAAATGGCTGGTCCTCCTACAATCACTAGGGTTCATCCAAAATATCTGGTGACTAAAAACCAGCTGACTTTTGTCACTTCGGTTGGATTCTACTTCTGCCTCTAGTTCTTAGTGCTGCCTGCAAATACAGAAAATCCATTGTAAGCAATACTCTTATGTATTAAACCATACTCTTACTGTATTAAATCAATGTGTTTATGAGTGCTCAACTTGAAACGGGGAGTTTGTGACCAGGAGTGGCCATGGCTGCAACTGAAGGCAATGAAGTCAAACTGAACACAATAAATTAACCAGCATTTCTCATTCCATATTTAAAATAGAGACAATTAGGCTCCATTTCCTACCCACAAAAGGAGGCTAGTAATCCCCTTAACTGCATTGTTGAGAAAGTTGTTACAGGGATAAGCTTCA